CCTGAACTCTGGGCCTGGGCGCTGTCCCTCAGCTCTTCAGCTCAAGGCTAGCACTCTACCACTTGAGCCACAGCGCTACTTCCGGCTTTTTTCTTATGTGGTGCTGAAGAATCGAACCCAGGGCCTCGAGTATGCAAGGCAAGTGCTCTACCACTGAGCCACTTTCCCAGCCCCTGAAACAAAGTCTTATAGCCAAAGCTGAACTCAAATTTGGGCCTCACCCTTTGGATGCTAGCACCTGGCCATGCCTGAGTGTGCACAACATTTGTATTGGTGCTAGCAGTTTGATAAGAGGATGAGCAATAGGAAAGAGTGGATAAGTAAAATAACTTGAACTCAAATGACTCTGTTTAAGGATCTGGAAGAGTGCAGAGGAAGAGACTTAATAGTCTTTCCATATGGCTGAATTTCTGAATTTCTTGGCCAGGCCTGCTGCCAGGCTACAGCCCTTTCTGTTTCATTTGGAAGGTTGCCACAGATTCATTACTTGGCCACCCTCAATGTTATGAATTGCAAATTTCAAACAGTCCTTTCTTCTTTCTTCCTTTCCAGCTATTAGAAAAACCAATCATAAAGGCTGTGTTTGTATGATAAAAGACAAGCCTTTGTTTGACAACATTTTTCAACTCAGTCCCCCACAAAAATCTGGAAATGGGCTTTTCCCCCCTTGCACATCCTTTCATTTTTCTACTCCCATTAATAAAAAGATTCTGGGACACAGTCACTTCAGAAGATATTATGATTATAACTCGGTTGCCTCCTTTTCAGAGTTCTTGATGGTCAGCAATTCTCTCTCCAGTGTCTATGAGTATAAAATGAGAATATCTCTTGTCTGTTTATTTCAAAGCGGTTCCTGTGATTATCTATTAAAATCCTTAATAGGCTTTTAGTGAGTGTGTACTGAGGGATTTCATATCTGATGCTGATGACAATATTTTAAATGGTTCATTTAATGCTCTTAACAATCTTATTTTTCTCCATCTTGTGGATGGAGGCTTTGAGTGAGGAGTTTTACATATCACGGCTGCTCTGGGGTCAGAGCCTGTTTAATCCTAACAACTCAAAAATCAAATGAAAAAAAAATGAGGTGTAGAAACCAAGAGTCGTATGATCCTTACATCGAAAAGGAGTTTTGATTTACTTTAAAATAAACACACTTGGGGCTGGGAAGGTGGCTCAGTGGTAGAGTGCTTGCCTCGCATACATGAGGCCCTAGGTTTGATTCCTCAGCACCACATAAGCAGAAAAAAGTTGGAAGTGGCACATGGCTCAAGTGGTAGGGCACTAGCCTTGAGCTGAAGAGCTGAGGGACAGCGCCCAGGCCCAGAGTTCAGCCCCATGACTGACAAAATAAAAATAAAATCACTTGACACCAAAAACATAATGACAAACATTTTCATATCCTAGGGCTCCTTGGACTGATGTGAGAGGGTCAGCCAGGAATGAGGATGGAAAAGATACACTGAAATCAGGCTGTCACTTGGGGACTGAGATTTGGCCTTATACCCCTTCAAGTGAGAATACACGGACATTTTAGCCTAAATGTCCATGTATGCTAAAATGAGAACTATTATTTGGTCTGTTGTTACCATTTCAAGGATAATAATTTTCCATATACAAGTAATATTAGGACCTGCAATAGAAAAATTAGCACATAAAAGCAGATCACAAATTAGAATGTGTTATCTTGCTCTTATCACTCACTCTTCTTCATTCTTTATTCCCTGCTAGACTTCGCTCTAAGATGATTGTTCTCTTTTTTGGGGAGAAGGGAGGGCTGTACCAGGGCTTGAGCTTAGGGCCTAAACACTGTCTCTGAGCTTTTTGGTTGAGCCACAGTTCTACCTCTGGCTTTTTGCTGGTTAACTGGAGATAAAAGAGTCTCACAGATTTTCCTGCTCTGGCTGGTTTTAAACCACAACCCTCAGATCTCAGCTTCCTGAGTAGCTGATTGCAGGAAAGAGCTATTGGCACCTGGCCTATATTTCTCTTTTTACAAAATAGAGCCACACAAAACTATGTTTCATGTTTTCTTTTCTCAATAGAACACGATATCTATTTTCTCATTTCAACATGCAAATCTAAAGTAAGTTTCTATTATTCCAAATATTGTATCTTATATACAGTGAAAATTTAAAAAAATTCAGTCAAATTCCTATTTTGTGGGGTAGCTGTACTGTTTTCAGCTTTGCACAATTTAAAACTGTAGCTATGAAAAAATTTTAAAGACAAGTTTTCACACATGTCTTGACTATTTAAGATAAATTTCTAGGACTGGGGATGTAACTTAGTGGAAAAAATCCTGTTTAGCACATATGAAGTCCTGTGTTTGGTGTCCAGTCATTGAAAAAAAAAGACTTTTTTTTAATGTCAAGGTATATTTTCCTCCTTTCTTCAAAAGTATCGCAAATTTGCAATGTCCCCAGAACCACCTATACGAAAGCATTTTCAACCTTGATCTCTAGAACCTGCTTGCGCTTCTTTACATTCCTGTTTATCTTTTCCAGTTTTCTACAGGGAAAAGTAGAAACTCATTGTTTTGTTCTCAAAATTTCTACACAGCCTAAACTGACCTTGAGCCAATACTCTTCCTGCCTCAGTCTCCCTTTGGCTAGGATTAGAGGCACGAGGCACCACATTTGGCTGCACTATGCAAGTTTAAATTTTGTGGCAGTTCTATGACATTGTCTTCTTGTGTTCTCAGCATTTCCTTTCATAGAGTAGGAATATCCCTTTCTTGTCAATATGACATACTGACCATTCCCAATCTAAAAGTCAGTCATCTGAAGTGAGTGTCAACATATTGACACACGTAGAAAATTCTACTGTGATATAGGTTGTGGTCAAGATTTGGTTCAATGTACAGAAACTTTGTTTACCGAACAAAGTTATCTACAATTATATACCAAATTACATTCAAACCGTCTACAAGGTGTGGACTAAACACAAATGAATTTTTGTGCTTTTGACCTGGAGGTCCTTTCCCAAAATATTTCATTAAATATATGCAAATCTTCCCAAATCAGAAAAGACTCCTATTCTGAAATTTTCTTGGTCTCAAGTATTTTTCATAAAAGGCTCAATCTGTAGTTCTAACACAATAATATCAATGCCTAAAAGTCGCTTACTATACCAGAAGTTTAAAACAACATACAAGAACAACTATATTAGAGGCCCTTTTGTCTTTGAAACGTAAAACTCACTATGAACTTGTGCATGGATTCGGGGGTAAAATATGATTTGCTTTCTTAAAAGCTGCATTTCCCTGCCTTCATTTAAGGGTCACGCAAGCAGTCAGCAATTCTCCCTCATGGATATAAAACTGATGGTTTTATAATGTCTAACCAGTTTCTCTTACTGCTGAGGCTTTTAGCTGCGATACTGTTCTGGGCAGAAAATACTCACTGCTTCATGTCCTAAGAAACAGGATGCAGAATCATGACTGCACTTCTGGTTAGGAATTCGAGTCTCTCTGAGGACTTAAGTCCTAAAGATTTCCATGGGTAATTTTTTTCCCCCTGGGGAATGATTTTTTTTTCCTTGTGCCAGTCTTGGTGTTTGAACACAGGGCCTTGAGCTTCTTTTATCTTAAGGCTTGAACCACAGCTCCATTTCTGACTTTTTTTTTGGTAGTCAACTGGAGATAAGAGTCACACTGGACTTTCCAGCTGGGGCTGGCTTCTAACTGAGATCCTGAGATCTCAGCCTTCGGAGTAGCTAGCATGGCAGGTGATAGTCACACCCAGATTTCTCTCTATCACCTTTTCACTGTGAAGGGAATTAGCAGAGAAGAAATGCTTTGAAAGTGAAATGTGAAACAGAAGCCTAGCTTTGAGAAACTTCAGAACACATTTCAAGCACATGTGACTTCGGTTGCAGGCTAAGCAGGGCTCGCTGTGAATTCTATACAGACTGTGTTTCTCATATGTAGGCGTAGCTTGCCTCTCCTAACCGTCAGCCCGATTTTACACACTGCAGTGGTGGCCGATGCAGTGATTGTGATCTTGTTCATTCAGGCAGGGAGGATGGTGCTGTTTTTGCCCTTGGCTATCAATGTTACACGGAATACCCATCACACAAAAGGGAAGAGCCCGGCTGCCTTGTGGGAGGCAGAAAAATTCTAGCTTTGGTGTGTTGTTATGGATGCTAGAATAAGAACTAAAAACAGATGCATTATATAAAGTGTAAATTGGTGGTGTCCTGGGGGAACTGTAAGATTCTCACATTATTGATGAATATGTCTTGAAGATTATCTTTAAGTAGTTATACAAAGGGTGTGTTTCAATTCAACATATCATTCAAAAAGTACAATGCATGTTGATCAATGTCACCCTTCCACTGCTCTCCCCCATCTCTCCCCACCCCACCCAAGTCATCCTCTACTGACTTGGCTCCATTTTTACATAGGTGCATTGAACACAATGACTGCATTCATCCGCCCTTCCACTCTCCTTTCCAATGCCTCCTGATATTTAATACAAATGAAAGGTTCCATTTTCACAAATGTACATTGAATATGACTGCGTTTGCCTACCTTTCCACTCTCCATTTGTATGCCCCTTGGTGAGTATTTTTATAAAAACTAAAGAAGTGTGTGATGAGTGGTTGCTTAAAAGATACTTAGGAGCAGTTATGAACTCTGGTTATGTAATGAGTAGATAAATAGAAAAAAAATGACCAACTTTACACTGTTGGCGGAAATCCATTCCTGTAATTTGTCAACTAACACAAAACTGTAGAACTGTTTCACGGTTCTACGGTATAGCACAGATTCACCAGTCATTTCTTAAAAGTAGGATGGCATATTCTGAATGTGAATATTTTCTGATTTTGAAGTCAATACCAGTGTCATTCTTTGGAAAGTGCATACTTTTTTTTTTTTCGTGAAGTACGGAACCACGGGAATATTCTTTATGCCTCTGGGAACATAGCGGTAAACTGAATAAACGGTAATAGACGTTTACACACGAAGACGTACCTGACGAAAGGAAGGAAAGTTTTCAATAAATGGATTTGCTTACCCCGTAAACAAGCTCTCCTACCATCCCATTCCAGATTTTGGTATCTGCATCCCTTGCTCCGTATTTTCCATCGGGGACAATGGCAATTTTATACTTGATACCAATGTGTTTTGCAATTTCAGATGCCAAGTCCACACAGTATCCTTCATACTTGTCGTTTCCTTCAAACATTTCGTGATTTTTCTTGTACATAACATAGGGGGATTCCTATAATGAGAGAAGCAGAACTGTAAAGGAGAAACTGTAAAACATTTGAAAAACCGTTCTGTAACTGTCCAGGCTCAGGGTTTGAAAACCTTCCATGTAACTGTCCTGTTTCAGATTTTAGTATTGATAGCACAGATGAGTTGGGGTGGCTACACATTAAACAGATCAGTATATGAATATGTTTAGAAGGATGTGAACTTGCAGAGTAAAATCTGCAGAGTAGCTGTCCATTGAGTGATTGTTACATACCTAGCACTGTGATGGTGATAGGAAAAATGTCCATTGGTATTTCTCTAGAGAGAGTTATCTTCTTTGGCAATGAAATGAGCACGTGTGAAATGTTTCATGAATGAAGAGCTATTTAGTGTTCAGTTTAGTGTAATGAAAGCTTATTAAAGGCCACATGTCTCCACGTAGTCCATTTTTAAGCCATGTTCTGCTGTGACTTTCTTTAAGGAAAGTGTTATATCATTTTTCTTTGATCACTAATGTTTTTCTCAGAGCAAGCAGTAGCTGCAGAATAGTTCAAAGAGGCAAACTAATAGCTCAGAAATCCTATGTAGCTAGTTATTTGCATTAAAATTGCTTTCCCACAGTGTCTAGTTTTTTACTTTTAAAAAGGTTGTGGAAGCTAATGGTTCTGTAGTTGTGAGTAAACACTCGAAGTGGTATTCTCATTTTGTTTTCTAAGCAAGTGAGTCAGAAAATATGAAGAATTACTGTGACCATGTTTACAAATAAAATGTTGGTGGCTAGTAACTTCTAGGCTTTTATGATACATATAGCACACACACATCAAACCATTTAAAAGTGTCAATTAAAGAGACATGCAAAAAATATTTGATTTTATAAATGGCACCTAAAGCCACCAATTAAAAGGTAGTGTAGTGAATCTCCAGTATGGAGAGAGTTTTTGGTCACATCTTATTTGTTCACCACTTTTGGGCCCAACATTACTGAATATAACATGTATTTTATGGAGTGTGTTATCACCTGGAGTGGTGGTTCACAGTAACCTTTCCTTTTCCCTGACTGACGAAGTTGACTTAGCTCTTGGAGCTCCGTGCTACAATTTACTTTGCAGAACACGGCAATCCACACCAGCAGTGACCGTTTTTTTTTTTTTTTCTTAAAGTACTACAAGAGGACAACTCCATTTTCAAGACTCAATAGAATGTAGAAATTAAATGATTTTTCTCACAGAGATGCCCTAAATGTGACTGTACATGGAAAAATTGTGCAAGATTTTCTATGTATCCTTTTTCTCTGTTCTGCTTTTACTTGACTTGGCCAAGTCACTCATATAGCTCCCCTTTCTTGGCATTTGACAAATATTCTAACACTGAGGGAAAAAGGTAAAGAAAGTTTCCTGCATAAAATTAGGCACCTAATCATCACTAATGGTAAAAAATGTTATAGAAAACATTTGCCACTTTCTAGGAGGTTTTTTTTCAAATTATCAGTGTGCTGAAGAAGATTGGCAAGTTGTTGTAAAGTTAATTTCTAAGATATGCTGCAAAATAGTAGTAGTCATTGCAAACAATCTGGGCATATTTTTTTATTATAGCCTAATCAAAACATGGATGATTATATAGATAGCAGGATGATCAACATGTTGGCAGAATGGTTAACATTCTAACTGAAGTAATTATATAGCTACCATATACAAGTACTACAAGCTGAGGATTTATGTGAAGGTGTATAGCATGACTCATTTGGCAAAAGGTTGAAGTAGATTTTTGAACAGGAATTTTGTCCCTAAGTTTTCATGCATGTTAGGTACCCATGTTATTATATTGATTCGGTGTTAAATTTAGCAAGTAATTTAAACTGTTCAATTTTCTCTGTATTATATAGTGAACAATTTTCTTAATGAAAACCTGCATGGCTATTATTTAATCAAACATCTACTAAACATCTCCTGTGTGCCAGACAAGCTTGCTAGGAGATGCGGATACAAAAAAAATACATAAAATTTGTCTTGTCCTCTTGTGATGACAAGTCATATAAATTTTTTTTGTAGTTAGGTTACAGCGGTATGAATGGTGGGGAAAATAATACTTAGCAGTGAAAAATCGTAACAACTCTTACTTAGTGCCACTCCATGCCAGATACAAAGCCTTAAGTCTTTATGCCCTTTTAGTAATGCCACACCTTCAAGTAGGCATTCCTCATTTGCACATGGAGACACGAGGAGTCAGGAAAGTTGTGTAATTCCCAGAGCTAACAGATGACAGAGCGTGAGTTACGTTTACACTCTGAATTATCTGAATTTCTGAAACTATTTGTATACCCAATCTCAATAGATATAACAAACCGAGATGGCCCGTGATTTCTAGCAAATCACTAGGGGGATTTGTGGGGCATCTTTGCAGAAGTCTTATTAGGGTCCCAGGTGTTCAATTACAAGTAGAAATGGAAGGATCTGAGGAGTGAAATGTGACCTCTCCTTCTGAATAGTATAACCAGTCTTGTTTACTGTCACTAATGGTGCTCTGTGGGACAACAATCTCTTGGAAGTCATTTTACAAGTATTTCTTCCTAGCGATGACCAGTTTATGATGATAACTTCCATAGTGTGATGGTGCTGCACATCTGCTCTGTGATAGCCGAAAGGAAATATAATCACAGTTATGTGAACTTTGATATAAATGAGTGAAGAGGAGTCCCAAACAAGAATCCTTTTCCTACTGTATTTAGCAAACAAAATGAGGTTAGTTGAATCTCAAGCAAACCATCCTTTTCTTTCTGTCTTTAGCAAAAACAAGACTGTGGAAACAAGATGCTTAGTAGCAAGAACTCAAGCTTTTCTAAATATCTCCCCCAAGATCCACTACAATGACCTTTGAAAACCACCTAAATAATGAAATCAGTTAATTTTCAGCCAATATGCTTAGCTAACTCTCCAAAGAATCTTAATAGAAAATATATACTGTATGAGTAAACATGTTTTAAGATGGCAGTGGAGATTTTTTTCTCCTCAAAAAACCCCAAGTAACTTGAATGTTTGAACATCTTAAGCTCAGCAAAAATAGCCTAGTTAAAAAGCAATAAGCCATTTGATGGAATGTATACCTAGCAGAGGGGGGCGTGTTACTATTTGGTACAAGGAAGAAAATAATGCCTTTGTGTCTTTGTACATATGTCTATCTATACATAAATATACATTTGTATGTTATTATAAATGTGCATACTGTGTATAACACATTTTTTGTGTAGATACAAAATTTTACATAGAGGTGAAAACATATTAGATACTGCCTAAACCTCTGGAAAGATTAAGTGTGATAGATGGGCGGAATTGTTTTTAGGTTTGTAAGATAATTCTGAGGGTATAGTGAGTAAATTTGGGTTTATGGAATTTCTTCCTAAAGGACTGTTATAAATCAGAAGGAAATACATTTTGGCTACATAATGTGTCCTACCCACTATCTGATGTTAGTAGTAAACCTTTGAGAAGAAAGAACTTGTCTGAAATATCATTGAAACATCTTTTGATTGCTAGATACAGTTCGGTAGCCAAAGAAGGCAGTGAAATTAGAGGGAAGATGACCACACACCTCTTCTCTCCAAATTGACTGTAAATTTCCTTTTCCACAGTTGCCATACTTAATCTAGTCCTACAGCCCAACATTATTACTTTGAATGCAAACAGTCACTGTGTCATGTATAACATCAGAGTGTGATAAAATTTGTAGTCAATAAAGCCTAAAGATAAAACTAGGAAAATGCCAATTTAGTTTCCATTTCAATTTAGCTATACCATAATCAATATGACTACCTTCAGGTAGTAAGGATTTATTTAAGTCATCCTTAAAAATAAGATCACTTTGTAGATATAAACAATACTGTTGGAGGAAAAAAAAATCCCAGTAGCATAAAAAACTAACATTACGTTTTGTTTCCAAATGATCACTGTTTTGACCATGAATTATGAATCCATTTTCTCTCACTATGACATGAAGTTCCCCTGAGTGTAGTTTTTGTCTGTTTTGCTCTATGACATATCCCCAGGGTCTATTACTGTGCCTAGCATACAGCAGACGCTCAATAAATATTTATGATGAATAACTGAATTTCTCAATCAATTTTATTTAACAGTAGCACACATCATTACAGTGTATCAACATATAAATAACAGCATACACAAAGGAAAGACAACTTTTAAAAACATCAAATGCCATATCAAGTCTGATCAAGATGGATCATTTCCATTGCTCATTCTCATCCTCTTTCTGTATCTAGATAGCCATAGTATATGCATTACAATATCTAGCCAATCCCGTCTGTACTGGGTGTTTTCCATGAATTTAGTTAATTATTACATGCAGGTGTCAATACCTCATTCATCTACAACAATAATGTTTCTTTCAAAGTGAATGAGGTGGCCGGGTTGTCAATAAATGTAAATACAAAGATACTTTCAGGGAAAGGATTCTAGTATGCTTTTTGGAATTACTGAATGATTGTGCAGTTGTAAATACTAGATGAATTACTTAAAGGAAGATTACATTTTTATACAAAAGACAGATACTAAGATTACACTATTTTGATAGCAAAAATATTGATGGCATCATTGTCAAACAACAGATATTTTGTACAGAGTATTTTTCACATATATAGAAACAATTGGATATTTTATTTTTTTTATAGCATGCCTTCCCCAGAACTAGTCATGCTTGAAAACTCAATTCAGTATTTTGGTTTTATGAATTATATATTCAATCTCTAGTAGCAGGGATTGAAAAGGATACTCGCTACATTATACCTATAGAGAACATTAACACATTTATTTCACAAAACAGGCAAAAATATTCAAAAAAGCTTTTCTAAGGGAAACACGGTATATTTGGGAAAACAAGCCCACAAAATCAGATTTTGGCTTTTAGAAAATCTACCCCCGGAAATAGGAATGATATAATTTCATTCTTTATGTATTCGGAGCTCATTGTATGAAATGGGAATTTGTATGTCAGAATTTCTAAATGATTCTTTTTCAACTTCTATCTTCTTGAAGAAGCTGAGGATTAATTCTTCTTCAGATTTTTAGGATCTCAGACAAGTCACACATAATTTTTTTTTAAAAAATTATTTTCTACAGTCCAGAGTTTGGTCAACCAAGAAGAATTCCACATGAAAAATAAGCTTAAATTTACTATACAGGAGAACAAGATTTGAACCTTAGTTGGGAATGGTCGAACATCGTTGGAACTCTTTTCGTCCTTGATCAATTTCTGAAAATAGGGTTCTTCATCAGAGGCTGAAAAGAGGAGGACCGTGCTGAAGTTTGACTTTCCATTACCATGGCCTTTTTTTTTTTTTTACTTTTGTGGCCTTTTTTTGTTTTAGGAAAAGAAATATATATTTATATTGCTTTTCAAAGTCCCATGCAAATAGTACACGATTAAGTTAGAAAGGTTTACACAGACACTGCTTTTGGTTGCTTTGCATTCTAAAAATCATTAACTTCCAATCAAGACTTAGAAGCTGGTGGATCCAAGGCAGAGGCAACTAATTGCAACCTAAAAATGCTTCTCTTTGGTGTTTTATGTTCTGACTTCAATGCCAGTGGTGCATCACTAAAAAACCTAAAGCTAAAAATTAAAATCATGTAAGCTAAAAAAAAAACCCTAAATAACATAAAAGGCTTCCATTTTATTTAAAGCAAAGGCTTCCATACATAATTAATCATTTGTTTTGCCTAAAGAGACAGTGAGCCGAGGATATAAAACTGGAAATTAAATAGGAAAGGTCACCGATTGTTGATCTCTCTTGACTACCATTGACTCTAAAGGGCATGTTTGACTTTAGAAGAGGGGGAAAGACATATATGATATTCTATTATTTAAAACACGAAAGCCGTGTTGTAAAAGCGGCCTTAAAATGTGGCATAGTTTTCATTTTGCATGGTCAAATGAAGCAATCATATTTTTCTTAATTCTTAGAATAAATTAGATGTGTTTTTCTCACTTGTCAACGAGAAAAATAATCGGTGCAAAAAGCCTCTTTAACATTAAAAATGAATATAAGAGAAAATTAACTTCTAATGCATCCAGTTATATAAAGCATGCCCATTAAAATCATCACATTAACTTCTCCACTCTTATAAACAGACAATTGAAATCATTCTGTTGATGATTAAACTGAGCTGATGATAACCTGAACAGGAGCATTTTCAAACACGATTAACTATGATTACATTGATGTCTGTAGAAATGTAATGACAATAATAGGGTTTTCCACTGGATATTTTCATGACTGGATGTTGACTTTGTGGTGCTCAGGTGCTGTGTCTGGGTCTTAAGTGTTCTACACATTTCCACTAGAGTTTGAGATGCTCTTTTTGTTGTTGTTGTTTTTAACATGTGTGCATTCTTCCAGGAACAACAATGCAACAAAAGGTAACACAAGCAAAAGTACTGAGTGTACTCAGGCTCCAGACAAACCTATTCAAAGCCACAGTAGACTTTTGGTGAATCAGCTTTACCCACCCTGTTAACCATGGCTGGGGAATTAAAACTGCCTGTACACGAAACGAAACACCATGAAGCATACACCAAAACTTACCATGATTGTGGTTACAACAACTGTTCTGTTCTCAATGGCTGCTGTGTCATTGCCCAGCGTGGGTACATCTTGAATCAAGACCAGTTTATCCATATCATTCCAGTAACCCACCTGTAAAATAATAATAATAAAATTACCTGAAACCACCCTTACCTTTTCTTGGAACAATGAATGATCTAATTAAGTAAGTCACCAGACCAAAGTTAAGAGGCAAATTGTTTAAAAAGTGAAAATTAAAAAGCAAATTAAAAAATAAAAGGATGACCAGTCTGTTTTCTTGATACTCAAGATAATGGCCTTGTTAATTACTTAACAAGCTTGCCATTTATGGACATGGAGTAGAAAAACTAAACTGGTAAGGGATGTTGGAAAAACATTCATCTCCTTCGGGCACTGGAAATAAGATGAATAGTCAATAAACATATATGGTGGACTCGATGTGCAATGTTGTTTGTCTTGAGATTGAGGGACCCCTGTTGTACTCAAAGTTAATTCTTTGGAGAACTCCTTTGATCAGACATGTATGGAAAAATCTGGCTAAATTCTCACACCAGCTCTGAATGGTTGAACAAGTGAAAGACTGAATGAAGGAATCTTATGGACACTGGGGGTCAGTGTTTCCTTGTGTTCAAGACAGTGAGCTTTGGAGTGACTGAAGTTTGGCTTCTGCTCTATCTCCACCTCTTTTAGGCTGACGATCTCTGAGCAGGCTACTTAATTTCTCTGTAATTCACCTTTCTATAGAACTGAGAGACATAGTTTTGTACTGTCCTGATAATGATATGTAAAAATGCACATTGGTTTCCTATAATGAGGACAGGCATATAACCTGCCCTCACTGGGTGAAATCTCAATTCTTAAGAATTCCTGAAATGGGGGGCTGGGAAGGTGGCTCAGTGGTAGAGCGCTCGCCTTACATGCATGAGGCCCTGGATTCGATTCCTCAGCACCACATAAGCAAAAAGAAAAAAGCTGGAAGTGGCGCTGTGGCTCGAGTGGTAGAGCGCTAGCCTTGAGCTGAAGAGCTGAGGGACAGCGCCCAGGCCCAGAGTTCAGGCCCCATGACCGGACCCCCCCCCCAAAAAAAAAGAATTCCTGAAATGGGGCTGGAAGTGTGGCTCAAGTGGTAGAGTGGGCACCTCCTGACAACAGGAGGGCCTGAGTTCAAACCCCAGTACCGCCCCTGACCACAAGAGGGAGTGGGAGAGGGAGAGGGAGGGAGAAAGAGAGAGGGGGGAGGGAGAGAGAGAGGGAAAGAGAGAGGGGGAGGGAGAGAAGGCAGAGAGAAGGGAGGGAGCAGGAGGGAGGGATAGAAGGAAGGGAGAGAGGAGGGAGGGAGATAGATGGGAGGAAGAGAGATGGGAGAGGGAAGAGAAAGGAGGGAGGGGGAGAGAGAAGGGAGGGGGAGAAGGGGCCAGGAGGGGAGAGAGGGAAGGGGAAGGTGGGAAAGAAAAACTCCTGAAACTGTAGGAGGCTGTCACCTGTCAGTAGTGGTAGGGGCTCATCATCCTAATCGGAAGACTCCACCATAGGTCGGGGCCTGGACTTCAGAAAGATTTGTATCTCTGCTTAATGAGACTCCATCCAATGTTCAGTTGCAGGAGTTGGCTCTGATCCATATTCAAGGCTAGCTCCCTCGCTAAGGCAAGTGTGCAATGAACAAGAGCGATTGCTCACTTCTCAGACTTACCACACGGCCTCTCCAGCACTGCTTCTCATGGTGGCTCATTTTTAAACATTAATATTCCTGATGGAATACCCGAGTGGATCGTTGGCACGGGAGAATGAAGACAGATGGGCCTGCACCATTTTACATTTCATATTTCTTTTAAGAGTCTTAGGTGAAAGTCAGCTGGGTGTAAAGATATACTGCTTGTGACTCTCCCAAATTCCTCGTTAACTCTCTCCCCTAAAACCTTAATTTCTGTTCTCATTGTGACTCAATAAGCAGTAGAGAAGATGCACAGCCACTAATAGCTTACTTGGTATTACTGCCCCGCCTTTCTTTCTCATGAAAGGTTGGCTGCTTGGTGACCTGTCTTTGTGACTAATGAGTCAACTATTTTGTTATTTCTTTTTGTGGTAGTGGGATTTGAACTCAGGGCTTCACATTTGCTAAGGAGATGTTCTACCATGAAAGCCAAGCCTCAGCCCTTTTGTGCTTTGGTGGATTGATTGGTTGGTTCTCGATTGATTGGATAGCATCTCATATTTTTGCTGAGGCTGGCCTTAGACTGTGATCCTCCTACCTATGTCTACTGCATAGCTCAGAGTACAGACTATCATCCATTGCAACTGCCTTATTTGTTGAGATGAGGGTCCTGCTAAGGTTTTCCCTGGGATGGCCTCAAGTTGCAATCTTCCCATTTTCACCTCCTGAGTAGGTGAGATTACAGGTGTAAGCCACCATGCCTGGTCCTAACCAAGAGTATTGTCTGTTCCACAGATGAACAGTTTGCTTTCTTTTGCTGGCAGTGGGCGAGCAGAGTGGGTAGAGTAGACAGTCAGGGAAGCCAGCGAATTTCTTCTTGGGAACCGTGGATCCTTGCTTTGCTTAGAGGAGCTTTGTGTGGGGACACCATTTGCCTGCCTAACTGATGTGTAGCAGACAGACTCAGTGTCTTGGGTATTAGCTGGCAGCCTGCACACACATGCCATTAAAAGGCTGGCAAGGTGGATGGCATTCAGGGCTGTGCCATGGAAACACAGGTGCAGCAGTACATCTGCCCGGTAGCAAAGCACAGCAGAGAAAGCCTCTGTGCTTTCTGAGTCGCCTTAACAATGCTGCTTCCTGCTTTCTTCCCAGTTATTGCCCGGCCTCGATCCACCTATCAGCTCTGTTTTCCAGGCTAACCCTGAGCCCCGCCCTCTCCATGTCTACTGCCTACGTGTTTCTCCCTTTATGAATTCAGTATCTTGCCTGGGTGCTAGTGGTTCACACCTATAATCCTATCTACTCAGAAAGCCAAGATCTTAGGACCCCAGCTCCAAGCAAGCTAGGGCAAGAAAGTTGGTGAGACTCAACCCCCAAAACCAGCAAAAAGCTGAAAGTGGAGCTGCAGCTCAAGTGGTAAAGTGCTAGCCTTGAGCATAAAAGCTCAGTGACAGCGCTCAGGCCCTGAATTCAAGTCTTAGGACTAGCACATGCACACCACACACACACACACACACACACACACACACACACAACATACATACACACAAACACACACACACTACACACACACACTTATGTAAGTATGTTCTACCTTACTAGAAAATAAATTCCACCCAGAGCAGATTCAGGCAGGGCCGGATAATTGAAAATTCTAGAGTTAGTTGTATCTGAACTAAAGTCTTTGTTTTCTCCTTTGACACAAAGGAAGAATCTAATAGTATTCAAATCACAGGCTTGTTGTATGAGATTCAAGTATTATGTAAAACTCCAAGATCAGTAGTGAGGCGTAGCAGGAATTTCATAAATTGTAGCTATCATTAAGACATTAAAGCAGCAGAGCATATTTTGGAAAGAATTCTTTGAACAACTAAGTACTGAAAAAGGTTTTAGATAATGCTAACTTGAACATCTGTTTTTTTTTTTTTTTCCCCCTTGAAATCTCAGAAAATCCTACAGAAAATCTTCCATGTTCATTGTAAGGTGCTGGTGGGGTTGTACAGTTGCCTTGTTTGAAGAATGTCAGGATGGTGGTTTCCCTCTCTCAAATGGCTTCACAATTAATAAATGGAAGTGCTTTTTGTCGCTTTACTGCATCTTGATTTTTTCTGTGCAGTAAGTTTTGCGGGATCTCTCTCTCTCTCTTGTATGCACTACTAAGTTTCAAACTAGGCAAGTGCTCTACCAGCTGAGCAATGTTCTTAAACCTTTTTGCTTTAGTTATCTTTTAGATAGAATATCATGCTTTTGTCTTGAGAAACACCTTGGAGTGTAATCCTCCTACCTCTTCTGTATAACTAGTATTATAAGCACGGGCTACCATTCAGAGCTTATTTTGTGGAATTCTTTTTGCTAAGCACTCTTCCCTGGCCATAATAATTCCATTATAAACAGAGGATCTTGGTAATGCGTAAATTAGAAGTTTCAGCTTTAGCACATCATTCAATATCAGCTTTATGCCATAAGAACTTATCTCAGCACAGATTATCAAGAAAATACTACATGTTAGTACTCTCTAAAGAGAAAGTGGAAATCTCAAGCTTCCAGTTGTCTCTCACCCATAGCCTTTCACAGATGCCACAGGCAAACTAGGAAAACAGAATCTTCTCTCTCCCCCCTCCCTTTCAGTTAAAATTGTTCCTCACCTTTCGCGGCCCTGTGCTCTTTAGCTCAAACACATCCATCGTGTAGTTGACTCTTCGTCCATAGTGGTCAAACTGGACATTGCCAGTCAGCCCTTGAATCCGCACCTGCAAAGGAAAGAGAAAATCCTAGGTGCTCATTTGCCCTTTCCCTTATCCACTCCACTTTGCACCTGCCTGGATGATGACCACACAGGATGGAGACCACACAGGATGGAGACCACACAGGATGGAAAACACACAGGATGGGGAACTTTAGGCTACAACCAAGACACTAGGATGACATTGAGTGTTCAAGCTATTGAAGTGTAATCAGAGACTGTCAAAGGGATCTAAAAAACCAATTTGCTGTATACTTACAAGAGGGCTGTGTTTATGCCTTATAAAGTTTCCATTTCAACTAACAGATTTCTTCTTCAATACATGAAGTATTTTTATAGGAATATACCTAACATTTACTTTTAGTTAGTGACTTTAGGTTTTATCCACATCATGGAATAGGTAGGCCCAATACCCATTCTAGAATACATTTTCTCTTTGTGAAAATTGAAATTATGGTATAAGAAATGGTGAAAAATACTCATGCTCAGATGATGCAAAATTTCTTTTTAATTCACTCCCTCCAGTTCTAGGGTTTGTGCTTAGAACTTCACACTTGCTTATCTTGAGTTCTTGGATGGTGCTCTATCACTTGAACCATGCCTCCAGCTTGGCTTTTTGTTGGTTAATTGGAGATAAGAGTCTCAGACACTTCTGCCTCAGCTGCCTTTGAACCATGATCCTCCTGATCTCAACTTCAGTAGCTAGGATTATTGGTGTGACCCTCTGGTGTCCGGCAAAATAGACCTTTTTGTGATACTAGTTTTTCTGGTTCACTTTTCTGCTTTGAACCAATGACATTACAGAAGATTTAAATCTATCTAGTCATTATATATAACATCTGTATTGTATGTCTAGTCGTTATATATTACATATATTATAAATGTCTAATCATTATATGACATTGTATTATATTTTATAATATATACATACATAATATAATTATGAATATATAGTATAACGTGTCCTCTCAGCAGTATTTAAGATGGCAGCAGCTTTACCAGTTTGGCCCTGGCCAAACAAACACATCTAGTGAGCTTATCTGTTGTGCTAAGGGACTGGAGTTTGAATAACTCTGTTCATCCTAACTACTCATTGATAAAAGATATGAACAGAGCATCTGGGATGATTCAAGCTTGACATATCAGAATGGTACAGTCATTGTAATGTACTTGTGCTCTAATACATTCATCGGTGTTCTTAAGCATGCCTGGTGAGGAAGAGCATGGGATGGATTGAGGACGCGTGTGATTACCTGCTTGAGCGTCCTCTCCATGTCAATTCCTTGGCCCCATGGAGCAGCAGGGTTCGCCAGACAATCCCCAGCATTTCCTCTCCTTGAAATGTCGATCTTCTGCCTTCGAAGGCTTCGGAACGTCTCAGCCATTACCAGGACTCCATCGTAAGTCAGAGCAGAGGTGTACTAATGAAGCAAAAATGATTACAGTGATGAATGTGATGGTCTTACCTAGCACACTGGAATCGTCTGGGGTTTCTACGGGTATGGGACAAAAGGACCACCTTCTCTGAAGGGCAGTTAGGTTACAAATAATTATTTTACTCTGTAATCAGAAAATTGCTATTCTCACTTGAATATAAAAACTGTATACCTGGGGCTGGGAAGGTGGCTCAGTGATAGAGTGCTTGCCTCACATGCATGAGGCCCTGGGTTCGATTCCTCAGCACCACATAAGCAGGAAAAGCTGGAAGTGGCACTGTGGGGCAAAGTGGTAAAGTGCTAGCCTTAAGCTGAAGAGCTGAGGGACAGCGCCCAAGCCCAAAGTTCAGGTCCCGCGACCGACAAAAACAAACAAACAAACCCCCAAAACAAAAACCCAACAGACAACAAAAACTGCATACCAAATTCTTTCATCTTTATTACTATTTTCCAGATGGTCCTGAGGCTTGAACTCAGGACCTGGGCACTGTCCCTGAGCTCTGTAGCTCTACAGCCACTTCCAGCTGTTAGTGGTTAATTGGAGTTAAGAGTTTCATGAGTAACCCCTATGTACTGTATTTTTACAATAAATCACACACATGCACACACACACACACACACACACACACACACACACACACACATATATATATATATATATATATATGTATGTATGTATAAAAGAGTCTCGTGGACTCAGATCACAGCTGCCTGAGTAGCTAGGATTACAGATATGTTACCAGTATCTGGCTTCATCTTAATTTTAAAAGGAGAAAACACTTTAAACAAAATAAATATTCTAATAAACAGTTGCCCATTAATCAGGAGGTCACAGGGGAAGTCTTTCTGTTGTGTGCAAGTGTGTAATCTGTGTGCAGCACTAGTATAGTGCCTAGAAGTCCATGGCAGGACTGGATCTCTAGAGAGCTGGGCTCTCTTATTCTTTTCATCCTGCAAAATGCCTACGAGGGCTTTTTGAGATTTCATTTATATTTATTGATTCCCAGTGTATATCTTAGTTTAGACTCTCAGAAGAATTAGTGGGTTTGCATGTTTCTATTCAGAAGTATCATGCTAGAAATAACATTCACAAGTGAATGTAGTCTCTGAACTAAACAGGAATGAATGCAACACATGGTAAGTGAAGGTGAGAGTTGATCATTCAGTTGACTCCAATGTAACAGAATCAAAGTGGGGATATGAAGTGTTGATCATCTGCTTTCTGATGGGGCCACTATATGCTTCTGAGAAAATAGGGAGCCCCAGGAAAAGGTAATTGAGATAAGAAGGGAAGTGAGAAAAGGCAGACACGAAAGTAGAATCTGGGAATCCTTTCTGAGAGAGTATGGTTAGCAAATTATTGAACACATGGGAAATAGATCAGGAATTTCTTGAAGCATGGCACCACAAAGACTACCATGTCCTTTAGGTAATATATATGTATATATATGATAATATATAGGTACATATTACATATATAATATACATATATAATATATTATATATAGGCAATTACCTATATGGTAATCGTTCTGTATTTATATGAGGGATAAGTTTGTGCTATGGGAAGTGGAAGATGGTTTCTTGGATTTTTCTGCTTGCTAACAAGGAAAACTCACTTGAAATGCCAATGGTATGCAATATTGCCATTATAATTGGTAGCATTCCAAAGATGAGAAAAACTCTGATATAGATAGAGCATGGAATATTTCATGAATTATAGCAAAGAACATTTCAATAATAGAAGACCTAACTATAAGCTTGTATTAGGATACATAATTAACCTTCCTGTGTATCTCCCCATGGTAAAGCAGGTTTAAGGACAAGCTCACCCCTGACAATTAACATAGAGTAGTTGAAAGATACACTAAAGATGGACATCCTCTACTGCTTGAACCAACACACATTTGAGTAGAGAAAACCATCAAATCATCACTGAGAAAGAAAACAAAATAAAAACAAGTAGAGTGACGCTTGCTAAGGAGATAAAAGGCAAGAGATAAATGTAATGCTAGTGTTTCAGGATCAAGGGAGGATAAAAGAAAACTGTTGTTGATATTTCAATAGGGAAAAAGTAGCTGAGAAGAGATAGCGGCGAAAAGCAAATGCACTTGGCTGTGGTTTAAAAAGTCCATCCATCTTTGTAAAATAAGTGAACTAGAGCAAAAGAATAGACCTCACACCGTGAGCCTGGGCAAAGGAGACCTCTAGCCACAGCAGCAAAGGCAGCGTGGAATTTGACAGGTCATATTACTGATAGATAGGAAGAAGCAGTTGTTTAAATTGGCTTTTACCTTTTCAAAGGCTCTGAGTCTTTCCCATGTGCCTCATTGTGTTACAGTCCAGCAAACTGTATTTATGGGCACACTTCTAGATAACACTGAGAAAATCCTTATTAGAGAAATGTTGCATTTTATGGCAGAGTAAAACTAGATCTCAGTCTAGAATCCCTCCATTACCCTGCCCAATGACCTGAATGACACCGTGAGTTCCGTTTCTCAAAGTGGTAGAATGGAATCACAGAGTATAGATTTGCAATTTGAAAAGAAAGAATTGAGAGAAATTCTAATTTTTCTACTCATAAGTTACAGGAATGGGGAATATGTTCTTCAGCTATGGAATGTAAGACCTAGACCTAGCCCCCCCAAAATAAACCCCAAACAAACAAGATAATAACTATCAACTGTATGCATTGTGAGGATGAAGTTTCATATCACATGTAAGAATTCTTTGAGTACTGTGTTTAGATACTGGTCCAGACTCACAAGGGTGGCTAAAGCTGAGAGTAGACAATCAATCATGGCCCCGTGGGTATGAAATAAGTATGTGAAGAATTCTATGAAATCCTCAATGAGTTTTACATCATCAAGGATCCTAGTGTAGAGGAGGAAAGCTCATGTTTATTGGTGGAAAAAGACAAAGTCTCCTAGACAGAGTGGAACTGAAGGTAGCCTTTGGAAATGTTTGGACTGGGACAGGTAGAAAAGAGATGAAGGACTGTGAGACCAAAGGCCAGCACCTGACAAGTGACACAGGGCTGTAGCTACAGCCACAGAAAGGCCTGTTCGTGGATTGTGGAGGACCTTTTTATTGTGTTTTAAAAGTAGAAAAGTGACAGGATGGAAAACCACGCTTTGAATCTTGGTTGAAATACTAAATAATTGAAGTGCAATTGATGTATTTATCATCAGTCATCACTCAGTTGGACTCTGTGCTTTTGAACTTGCCTTCCAGCTAATAGTTATTTGTGACTGTCAATCAATACTTGGGGGACCTTTTGTAGTGAAACATTGGATTCATCCATTATGCAGCCTAACAATGGTTGAAGAAGGGAACACTATCTTCCTGTTTCTGATTTCATGCTGTAAACCAGTGTCCTTTTAGTAGGCAGTTTAGTGACGTTTTCCCTACTCTTGTGCTTTTTGTCCTCCAATGATCAACTGTTTAATATGGTTCCAAATATAGTCTTGAGGGCTATCTAATGGTTCTATTGAATGTTTCTAAACTCTGATGTATGTTATGGAGTAACCAAGTTTGTTAATAAGTTTCATTCATGTCTAAGTTGGAGAGTAGCTGACTATGAGGTCAGCATTAATGAGCCAATGATATATGAAAAAAAGACTTCCTTAAATAGAAGCACACACACAAATGCAAGACTATGCATGGACTGGTTGACAAAAGGTGGTGTCCAGAGGTTCACAGAAACAAGCCTGATATGTACCATAAGTGTGATGGTTTAATACTTGCTCATTTATCCCTTGAGGAAATTTTACAGATCATAACTTCTACAATTAATGAAAACTGACCGCATATTAAATGGCTTCGGTATGCCTCAAATCATGTTAAAAAGGGCTTTGAAAATTATACATATAGTAATTATATATAAATATAAATTAGATATTTCTATATTATATTTCTATATTATGTTTATTAGAATTATATATAAATATATAACCATAAATTACATATTTGTATATTTATATGTTGTTTATTATATTTATATATAAATATATAACCAATCATTGCTTTAATTTAAAATTCTTTCTGTATGCTAACTGTCCATTCATGCAGAAGAGGAGAAATTGGCATAGTAAAAATAATTTTATAATTAAAAAGTGGAAAAAGCCGGGCGCTGGTGGCTCATGCCTGTAATCCTAGCTACTCAGGAGGCTGAGATCTGAGGATCACGGTTCAAAGCCAGCCCAGGCAGGAAAGGTCTATGAGACTCATTTTTTTTTTTATTGTTGGTCCTGGGGCTTGAACTCTGG